AGATTGATTAGCTTATGGAATTTGTTAAAAAGTGACGGGAATTAGTGATTTCCTGAAAATAAAAGCATGTGTTTAATTTTTTTCTTTGTCTTGGGGTTTAGTGTGCAGGGATGGCCTTGAAGAATCTAATGATCCCTTGTTGTCTGTATGTTATGTAAATTTAATGAGGCTAAATAACGAGTTGATGGGGGTTTTTAATTGAAATTTTGCATAAATCTTTAAACTTAGGGAAACTCCTGATGATTAGAAGTTAATGTTAAAACAGTTTTTACAAGAGGGTTTAAAACCTACCGAGACAGGTCTGATGGGTCTTCCTATGGTCAGGGGTCAAAGGCCTTGTCATCACGTTTGCAGACTTACATTCAAAATTTTATTGAAGTATTATTTTATGAATGTATGTCAATAAGTTTGGTTTCAACTTGTAGATTATAATTCAAATTTTTAGTATTATACATTAGTTTATTTCTTAAACATTAAAAAATTCCTAAATATCTGTTTTGTGTGTCACATAATATGTTCATAAATTCATACAATTTTAAAGGGACAAAAGTAGCTTATTAGCCCATCAAGGATGTCCCTTCCAACTCCCAACTATAACCACCCATTACTACTCATATATTCATCCAATCTTTTCTTGAACTCGGTTAAATTTTCTGCCTCCACCACCCTTGAAGGCAGCTCTTTCCAAAATACTATCCAAACTGTAGACGACTCCTATGAATTTAGGACTCCTTGTCCTATTATTTTCACTGCTAAACACAAAGTTTGGATCTATATTACCCTTAATAGTCTTAAACACTTCAATCAAATCCCCTTTTATCCTTCTCCTCTACAGAGAAAACAAGTTTAGATATTTTAGTCTGTTCTCATAGGACAATCCCACCATCCTAGTGGCTCTTCTCTGAATCTTCTCCAACAATTCAATATCCTTCTCGAGGAAGGGAGCCCAAAACCATACACAGTACTCTAAATGAGGCCTTACAAGTGATCTATACAGTGAAACAATAATATCCCTTGTCTTTTTTTTAATATTTATAGATGCTACCCAAAATCCTATTAGCCCTCTATTGCTAGTTATAATACACTCTTTAGATGTCTTAAGTGATTTTTCGATCACAATATCAATATCAGTATTTAATGTATTCCCATTTAAATTGTAACAGTAATTTGAAATGTGAAAACCTATGTGCATCACCTTACCTTTTGGATAGTTAAACATCATCTGCCACGTATTGGCCCAGTGCATCAGATGATCTAAATCTCTCTAAGTCTACAGCATCTTTGATACAGTTACACCTCAAAAATCTTAATGTCATCCGCAAATTTCAATATTTTGTTAGTCATTCCAGAGTCAATATCATTAATATAAATCACAAACCACAGAGGACCCAGCACAGAGCCTTGAGGCACACTGCTTATAACTATGATCCAGTCAGTTCTAACTCCATTTATTAATACTCTCTGCTTTCCACTCTTCAGCCAATTTTCTATCCAATTTAATAACATTCCTCCCACACCACAGATTTAAATTTTGTAACAAGTCTTTTATGAAGCACCTTATCAAATGCTTTCTGAAAATCAAGCTAAGCCAAATCCACAGTATTTCCATCATCAACTCTTGCAGTAACATCCTCAAAGAATCTCGGAAGATTTGTTAAACAAGACCTTCCCTTAGTAAAACCATGCTGGCTCTTTTACACTGTATCATACTGCTTTAAGTGACTCTGCAATGCATAGCTTCTAATTAGATGTTTATGATGTCCAAATACAAAGTCTGTAGTTACTTAGGAATTAGGAACTCAAATTACCAATATATATAAGCTAGAATATCAAATTAGAACCTCCTATCTTTTCTGTTTGTTGATATATTGCTACATTTAGTGAATCAAACACAGTGGACCCCATCCACCTCTTTCCATTGTTGGAAATGCTTATGTACCCCTACTTCTGCCTATGACGTGTGAATAACCAATCAAAAGCTCAAAATGCCCCACACAAAGTATTTATGCGGGAACCCTATTATTTTTCATGGTAGATTCCAAGTGATAATTTAAGACATTATTGAGCTCAAAAAAACATCTTTTTTTTAGACCCAAATACAGTTTAGTTACTAAGCCTGATAAATTATAATGGAATTCTGTGGTATTTATATAGTAATTTATAATTTTTTGTTATTTCAAAATGCATATATAAAATCTGAAAAAAATTATTTTGTTTTACATTCTCGATGTGCAAAATTTGATAAGGCTTAGCAAATTATGGCAAGCAGCAAACAAGTACAAAGTTCGTAAGCTAGAAGAGATAATTGTTTGCTATACTTCTTTATTTACTGTTCTATGTTTTAAGAAAAATAACTAAAATTTAAGAACTTGTTTGTAAATAGTAATGTATAACAGCCGAAATATGACTATTTTATAAAATACTGGTCCACTAAAACATAGCCAAGATAGGTCACTTTGTAAAGGCCAGTTTTATATTGTTGGATACAGTAACATGAGTGCATGTGTGCCGAGTCATTCAACTTCTGTAACATTAGTCAGATACTGCTGAAAAATCAATAAAATAAAAATAATAAATTTTTATATGTATGTAAAATATTATGAGATTTAAGCTATTTAGATTAAACATTTGTGGTTTTGTTATAATTTGTTGTAATTAGAACAAAAAATTGTAACTTGTATCTATTTTTCTTTATGGTGGTTACGAGGTCGGTCGACTAGGTGAAACCCATACAGAGATAGTAGTGAAAATAACAGATACAATATAAAGTGTTTTATCTTATGATAATGTTTGATAATTATCTGAAAGATATTAGGAGTTTATAGAGATTTTTGTGTGAAATTTGACAATTTTCTGATATATAAAAGTATTTTTAATCTTAAAATCAAAATTACTTTATGTTGCATAGTCAACATTATAAAATAAAAAATGCACAAGTAAATAATTAATGTAAAAATGTTAAAACTTAATTAAAAAATCTGATACTTTGTGTATGAATGTTTTGTAATGTTTACTGATAATGTGCAAAATTTCATGAAGATGAATTTATATTTTAAAAAGTTACAGTATAACTGCTTTGTGATTCTTTAAGGAATGTGGGCTGGGTGGAATCCACCCACCTCTATTAGAAAGGTTAAGAAAGACTCAATAATTTACAGAGTAATTATTCTGTCTTCTGTTGTTGATAAACTGTTAGGATCCATTGCTGTGGTCACTTTGAAAAGAACAATGGAAGTTGAAATTTGGTTTTTAGAAAAAGGTGCTTAGCATGGGTTTAGAAATGGTTTCCTTGTCTTGGTGATTAATGGTACTTGCTAGTCAACTAATAGATTGCCCTATTAAAATTAATTAATCAATTACATATCATTAATCAGTGAGTATGGTTTTCTTAAAAATAAAAATGTTGACTGCAAGTGCTGCCATCTAGCCAGTGATATGAGAGTCTCACATTCTATTCTTGTTACCATCAAACTCCCTGCCTTTGTGAGGGACTATTTACTAAAGTCATCTGCCACAGACTCTGATTTTGCTAACTATAGACAGTTAAAATCAACTTTGACCACTTTAAACTATTATCACTGACAGAACCCTGGCCTAGTTTCAAGAAATTGGTAAATCATTGATTTTTAGAATATATGTCTGTATCTGAGTTTAAATTGATTACCTATCTTATGATAACATAATAACAAAGGAGTATAATCTTTTATGTGCACATACTATATTGTACAATTTACAAGTTGTACCTTGTGATTTTATGTTCTGAAGTGTTTACTCACTTCGCTACACAAAAATTATTTTCTGTATTCAAATTGTTTGTACACACATTATATATATATATATGTGCCCAGTCATTTTATAATCTAATAAATAACACAAATTTCTGTATTTAACATTAACACAACAGACTAATCTGAAACATATTGTTATAAAGTTTTAATGCAATGCTGTGTGATTGTTTTCCATGTGTGGTGTCACGAGGTTACTCTATGTGATTCTTTTAAACACTGCTTGTAAATAAGCCTATATCAATTGTATTTGGTTTATGTATTGCATTATATTCTGATGAAGATGCAAGGTGAAATATTGCTATACAATTCAACATTAATTTTCCTAAAAATAGTGATGAATAAATACAAGTTGTGCAGTCAACCAATCCAATGGATCAGAGCGTATATGCAAAATGATTGTCCAGTGGACCATTTACAACCATATTTTGTCATTCCATGTGTTATTTCAATAAGGAAAATTGTATTGTTTGTTTTTAAGCAAAGGCTACTGACTGCAATGCTTTGTTGGCAAATGTTTTTGGTTTCAGTGTAGTGGTTGATTCCAGCACAATAGTGTTCAGGTTCACTAAGTAGCTACATGGATTTTTTCCACTGAATGCCTCTGCTCCTTGTTATTTTACTGAGCATCAGAAACCACTGCTACTGAAGTTAGCACTTTTTGACAATTATAATTTCTATAAGAAGTGTCAAATGGTAGAAATTTAATTAAATTCAGATCAATTTATTCAATGCGGTACAATAAAATCATGAATGTAAGTAACACTGACATGAAAACAACAACATATATACACTCAGACACTTTCCTCTCTCTGATTTTTATGTTCATGCTTGTATCTTTGAAATATTTCTTTCGATTAGTTGATAAAGGAATTCCTGTTATGTTTTTGTGAAATTCCCTCACAAAAAGAAACATTTTTGTTCTTAAGTTTTTTTCTCAGATTGACCATTCAGCACAGATTAATAGTTCAATGTTGATATTGATATTAAATTTTTGAAACTGCAAAAGAATTAATTTTCCTATAAGGTACTCTTAAAAAGAAACATTTTGGTATGTATATTTTTTACTATGATTAACCATTCAGGAGGTATAGAGCATGACAGACATTTAACTATTATATGTACAGATTAAAATATTTCTTTTATCTGAAGTAAAGGTTTTTTAATTCATATATATATCTTCTTTTTTTTCTTTTTTTTATCAATAATTTTTAGGAGCAAAGATTGGCCATGGCCTCCAAAGAGCTTTCCCCACTTCAGTCATCTCCAACACCTGAAAATGAGCAAATTTGTAATCTTTGTAGCCAGCAATACAAGCAGCCTAGGGTTTTATCATGCCTCCATGTTTTTTGTGAAACTTGTTTAGAAAAACTACTGCTTGACTCCACAGACAAACAGTTTGAAACTGAAACATCAGACCAATTTCATGTTTTGAGTTGCCCAGAATGCAGCCAGGAATCTAAGGTATAGTAATTGTCTTAACACTACTCTGGTATTTGTCAAAGTTGAAGTAAGGCGTTCAAACCATAACTTATCCTTAGGTAAATGAACGAAAATATGCAACAGATATATTTTAAAGAAAATATAAATGCTATCAACGTAATAAAAATAGAAATTTGTAAAAGTATTCCTGTATGGTTAGCAATGTACTTTTAAAATACATTAGCTTGTATATGTGTATATACCTATGTATGTAACCGAAATAATAAATACAATGTGGCACCATCTATTGAAGGGCCCTACAAACAAAAATCCATAAATAAATTTCATACTTTGGGTATTCAAGATTCAGACATTCAAAAAATAACTGGCATGTGCAACAACCATTTCTTTATAATAAGAGCACAAATTTAAATAAAAATACTTTCCTCACAACAAGAACACTACTTTCACTAGGGCAGTACATGAGGGTGTAATTATATCTTTATTAATGTTATTGTTAAATGTACTGAGAAACTGGAGTTCTTAAAAAAAACATTACAGTTTATATGAGTAAAATTTTGAGCTCTATTCTTTGAATCATTTTGATGCAGTGAGTTGTCTATGACTAAAAAGAACAATCCAAACATCTGTCGCATGAAGTACTTTCCAGAAAAAAAAATACTTTTTTGGAAAGTGTTCATTTTTTCACATTTTTTTTAATGAGGTATGAATACTACAGTTAGTAATTATTACTATGAACACTTAAATTTTAAAATGATCAGTCTGTGTATTTATTAGAGTACGGTATTTAATTTGTATCTAATATTGATAAAACTCTATAAGCTTTCTCTATGGTAGGAAATTAACTTGTAAGTTATTTTCTACAAATTTAAAAAGGTATAATTCCGCATTATTTAGTAGCTAAATAGTCTAAGGCAGGCCTCGACAAGTCCTGGGTGCCAAGTTGGCATGACAACTAAAAATTTCATCGTGGTGACTAGTATTTTCTCCTGTTTTATTTGTGCATAGGGCTGTGCTAAATAGAACATGAATCTAGAACAGTTCCAGACTCTTGGAAGTCTGTAACTATTTTTGCATTATTTGAGTCCAAAACCAAACTTTGTTTCTAGGATTTTCTTGGCAGATTCAGCACTTGCTTCTTCAGGAATGAAGCACTACGGTTGTACAACACGTTACTAATTTCATACCATTTTGTTTTTATTTCTCTCAATTCAACCAATCAGTGCATGTGTTTAAACTCGGACGGATACAAAGGCAGTTAGCTCAGGCAATACAATCAAGTGTTTGTTGATATCATGTGATTGCTAGCATGTACTCATTGCAGTTAACGTAAATAAATATGGCCCCCATTTCCTGGTACAAACAGTAGTGAAGTTAGGCTAGGCACGCTTGGCTCCTAGATCTGAAAATATTTGTCAAGGCCTGGTTTGAGGTATTTGACCTATACATTCACAATTGGTCGTGTTTGCGGTAAATTACACTGCTTGAACAAAACTTGAATGTATGGGTTTTAAACACTAGTAGACCACTGTTTATTTCTGGATCACACTAACGCATATCTTCTGTTTGTTTATATGACAACAATTTGAATTTATTAAATATTAGAAAGAACTATGGAATACAAGAACTCCCACCTGATGATACCAGTTAAACTTGGTGAAATGTGTAAAATAAACATTTAACAACGTACAACCGATAAAAACTTGTGTGAATTTGAATTTATGTTAACATTTCAGATCTATGTTTTGCCATTGTCCACTTTAGAATATTATATATACATACTAATGTTTCTACACCTGGATTTCTTTCACAGTAGTTTCAGGTGAATATTAATCAGTGGTATACCAACACAAGCTCTGGTGATCTCTAAAGGTGGCCTTCTTTTTAAGAACCAGTATTTCGTTGTTCATTATGACATATAATTAATTCCTGTCAGTATATAGTTTCCAGTTTTACAGACAAAACATTTTTGAATCTGCTTGAATGGAATTATTAAAGTACTCGTGTTCCAAATAATAGTACAGGGTGGAAAAATTCAGACTTCAAATCTAATTATTGTACAGGTTGAAATCATTGTATGAAATTGTATTTTGTGTTTTTTGTTAAAGATGACCAAATAAAAAAAAATAATAATGAAGACCTAAATAAGCATGTTGCAAGGTGGAAAAATTTCTACAGAATTAATAACTTTACAGGTATGATTATTTGTAACATGACGATACTTACCTCCTTTATAATATTTGTTGCCCACTGAAGTCAACAGACATGAAGCTAATTTTACAAACTGATTTAGTGTGGATTTTGTATAAAATAAATATAGTGTGTAATGACTGTTATTACTTGTAATTAAAAAAATGCAAAACCCAATTCCTTTTATTATTATTAATTATCAAACAAAAAGATGTATGTATTCAATATTTTTCCTACACAGTATATTCACATGCACATTTTAATCCCTGTTTTTTCAAAAACCCATATTTTCCCTACTCTTCCTATGTGTAGGGAATGGAATTGGGTTTGTATGTTACCTTTTCAGGTTTATTTGTAGCAGAAACCTTCCAGTTGAAAAAGTGGCTGGTACTAATGTTCCAGAATTCACTGAGAAGGTTTCTGCAAATTTTATTGATATTTCGTAACCTTACAATGTATATATCAGACGTGCAAAAACATAACATGGAACTCTTAGGTGAGAACATAAGTAATTACTAAATTTATTACCATCCACCTGAATAAAATGTGATGTCAGTGTATTATCATAACATTTTACTATTATTCTCTATTCTTTTTGAAAATTAACCCTATTTTTTCTCGATGTGCTGTTGAAAGACCTGCTTTTTTTTTTTTTTATAGCTTGTATAAATGTTTGAAATACGTTAACCATTTTCTATAGCTGTGATCTTATGTATGATTTTGTTGTTTTTTGCCTTTCAAAACTAAATTTTTGGTAACTTTTTACTGTTCACTTTAGTATCTGTAGTTCATAATTTCGTATATTGCTAGCTCATTTAGGATGGGTTGGCAAAATAATGCATTAGAGTTCATGCATTATTTTTTAAACATTTAGTTTTTCATCATGTAATTCTAATTGTGTGAAGCTACAAGTTTGCCAGACATTAAAGTTGCTATTTAGTGATATGAAACACCAACTTGTGAAATATTGTTCTGTTGGTTAGTTATATATATAGTTCTACAATCTGCTTAAATGAGTTATATCAAGGATACTTGCAGTTTGATGGCAGTCCCAGTTTGGTGTTTAAGTCACAGTCCTAGCTGAAGGTTTGGCACCTCCTCCAATGAGGAGCATATTGAAAAAACCAATAATTTAGTTTTTCATTTATTCCAGTTTGTCTCAAAATCCTTGTTCACTGGTTGACTGAAATAACATGGGTTTCTGTACCCATTAAATGTTAAATTTTACACAGTTTTCAAATGTTTGTACTTAAATTAAATCAATTCGTAGTTGAACAGCAGAGTTACTCCTTTACATTTATGTTGTTCTCAGAAATATATGTGCATAGTTAAATCTATATATTTTCATATCTTATTAGTCTTACAAAATACCTTGGAAAACATGATTAATTTCTATCCCATTTGTATTAAAGTCTGTGATTATTACTGATATACATACATGTGTGTGTGTATGTGTCTAGAAGCACTAAAAATTTCAAAAATGGTACAAAATCGGTGTGTGTGTGTGTGTGTGTGTATAAATGTTTTACTTATTAGTTCACTTTATACTAACTTGATCCCAGTATTTAGTCAAACATTTCTCATCTCATTTTCTTCCTAAATTATGTAATATGTAAATGTTTAAGTGTTACAACCGTGGTTGGAATATGCAGAATCACAGTATTAATATAAACATCCAATCAGAACAAACCGTATTTAGGGCAAAACCGGAAATCAACTTGGCAATCAGTAAATAACAAATGCACATCTATAACATGTAGTGTACTTTGTAGGGCTGACATACATAGACAAATTTTCCTGCCAACATCAAGCTTTATATTTTCTATCCAATTTTTTGCTCGAGTGGAGCAGTAGTTAATTACTCATTGTCTTTCAATGTTTTATTTAAACTAGATTTTAACATATCTTGGCGAAAAGTTTTGACTTTTATAGTGGCTGTATATTTCATGATGAGCATATATATATTTTTTATTTAAACTTTTAAGTTGAATATCTTTTATTAATCAATTAGAAGTTAGATCGGTTCCTGTAATAGATTCTTATGACTAAAATATGTTTTCTTTAAAAGATATTAGTGTAATAAGTTAACCCAAAACATACATTGTAAATCAGTTGAGTCTAATAACATGTGCATTTTAATAATTGAAGGCTTATGTGTGTAACACTGTTTTGAGTTGCATATAATTATTAAAATAAACAATAAACTATTGCAGCAAAAAATGCAGTATTTGCCATTATTTGAAGTAAGCTTATTTTCTGTAATCTTAAAAGCAGCAACCAGTCAAAATCCTATAGTTCAGTTGTGTGTTTACACCAAATTTTGTAATTATAAGGAATTCTGTATATAATTGATATTTGAAACTGTCGGTACTTGGTAAAACTGTTATTACAGAATTGAGGATGCCTTTACTGGGGAAACCATGGTCATTAACAAGTGAAGTTTTGTGAAATGTACAATTGTCTTTGTTGTTTTTCTTCAATTCTGGAATTCAGTATAGTTTGTCACTGCATTGTCTTAATGAAACCTAACTGTAAAGAGAAAAAGATTGGATTTAATTTTTGACCAAGTTAGCTTATGCTAGTGATATGCAAAATGAATTTTTAATGATAAGTTGTTGTGCATCTCTGTGGTGTACTTCCATACATTTAAGATTATTTGCATTGTGTTTACCTTGCCCTTAACTCATCACAAATTACCAATGTCATACAGATATATGAAGAATAAGTAACAATTACATGGTATACTGTTTCATCTAATTGAATTAGTGACATATTTTTATATAATTATTACTTTGAAATGAAAAAATTTCCTGCTTTTTCTACTGTATTTATGCCAGGTTTTCCTTGTGTTTGATGATAAATCTAGGTGAGTTGTTTATCATGTATGTGTAATAATTTCAATATTTAGAATGTTGGAAAGATCTCGAGTAACAAAAATGAAATATTCTGTAGTAATAAATGAAAAATGGTTAAAACAATGTGAGAGATAATTTCAGTATTTTGACTAAATGTCCTTCATTGGAAGATGAAAAAGTTGTACCCTATTTTCCAACAAAATGTATCCTAATGCAACATAATGTTTAATAACTTCTCATGTAGCACCTACACATATGGCTTGCGTTTGTTTATAAATGTATATGAAAATTAATAGTATCTTGATTTACATTTTAGGATTTGATTATTAAAATATTTCATTATTATTCCATTTTATATTTTGTTTGTATAGTTATATGCTAAAGGTGTTACTGGACTTCCATTGGACGTTGTAACCTGTAACCAGCTGGAGATCTCGGCCATTGAAAATACCCAAATTGTATGTACGAGTTGCAAAGCGAAAGAGAAAGCAGTTGCCAGGTGTAGTGACTGTTCAACATTTCTTTGTTCAAACTGTGTTACGGCTCATCAGTATATGAGATGTTTTGAAAATCATAAAGTAAGAAATCATTGTTTATATCTTATTGTTGCATAATTTTTTTATTTGTGTAAAAACATTGTTGATGAAATAAGAACAAAGTGTTATTTTTTTAATAATTAGCAGTAAGTTGAAAAACAGTAATGCAGTAAATCTCTCATATTTAATTCTGATCCAAAAACAATAGGAAAGGAAGGAATATTGTTTGATCCTTTTTCTAAGTAAAGAGGAAATCTTTTAAGTGGTTTGTAATGATAATTTGGATTTTTAAGGATCCTATGACATTATATTTTAAGTGGTTTGTAATGATAATTTGGATTTTTAAGGATCCTATGACATTATATTTTAAATGGTTTGTAATGATAATTTGGATTTTAAGGATTCTATGACATTATATTTTAAGTGGTTTGTAATGATAATTTGGATTAAGGATCCTATGACATTATATTTTAAGTGGTTTGTAATGATAATTTGGATTAAGGATCCTATGACATTATATTTTAAATGGTTTGTAATGATAATTTGGATTTTTAAGGATCCTATGACATTATATTTTAAATGGGTTGTAATGATAATTTGGATTTTAAGGATCCTATGACATTATATTTTAAGTGGTTTGTAATGATAATTTGGATTTTTAAGGATCCTATGACATTATAGCTAAACTTTGATTTCTTGGAGGTCCATGATCTTTCAAAACAATATAGATGTGTTTAAATATATATATATATTTCTTTGTGCTCTTTAGGTGGTAACATTTGATGAAATGAAAGCTGCCGGTGATGGAATAACTCTCCACAAAATCATCAACTGTCCGAAACACGTGGGTGAAACCATGAAGTTTTACTGTCATACTTGTGAGGTAGCTGTTCTTGTTTCATATATTTATTTTTACCTAAACTTAAATTTCAGAGACTGGTTTATAGAAGTTAGTGCATGTTTGGAATCTAAAATTTCTTGTTTTCCTGTTTAGAAGGTATTATTTTTGTTTTGTTTTCAAATGTTAAAGATTAAGTTTGATTGTTGGTGGCTCCCATTAGCTTGTGTCTTCTTCATGTCTCAACCCCAGCCTGTGGACCATTTTTTCTTTTTGATGGGTAGCATTTCTATTTTACTTGCTTTAATTTAAGATCCTTCCTAAGTTCAACCTCTCAAACCCGATTCGTGCGTGAGCTAATTCAGAGGAACAAAACATTTTGCAAAGTTATTCATTTCACTTTCATAAGTTGTTGTAGTCTGTCTGTCTACCTACGTTCTCAGTTAAATCTACATTTCTTCAGAACCTCCTTTGTCTTCCATTTATCTGTCAGGCTTGTTTGCTTGGTCAGTCTGTGCCTTTTTGTTTCGATTCAGAGTGGTTCCACTCCATTAAGTTAGTGTTCTATTTCTGTAACATTTTTTGTATTATATTGGGTTGACCAGCCTCCTTTGGTTCCATTTAGAATCCTCAGTATACCTCAGTTGTACCAAAGACTGAGTATATTGCTCTGGAACTGGCAAATACTAACTTGCCCATTTCATGTGACCCATTTTTTTGTAACTTCTATTTGACCATAAAACTTGTGTTACATATAACTGTTACTCTTTTTTTCAAACCAATAAAGTCCTATAGTTGTAACTTATGCAGATATTCCATTCATAAAGTGAAGTGGATTCAAGGTTTTAACAAAGATGATTTGTAGAGCCACCTAGCTCACGTGCATCCACACAATCATCAGACTTCTCTTCACTGTAAACATTTGGCAGATTTGTAATCAGTTAACTAAGCAGAGGACTAAATGTAGTTTACACGTATTCTAATTGAAAATCAAACCCAGACACTTGAAATAAAGTGGAATTGACATACACTTTTCTCTGCACTTCTTCTCTATTGCCATTTTTCTGTCATCTGTTCTTTCCATCCAAAGCTTTAGTCAGTAGTCTTGGTTTTACATAATTATTTATGACTATTGCAAGTGCACTCAGGAATATGTATTCACATAATTAGCAATAAAGAACTGTGCTCAGGTTGTAAAAAAAAAAGAATATCTGAGTTGGATAGAAAATAACTGTTATTCATTGTGTTTTAAACTTGTTATTTTTTGAAAAATATTTGTCTCGTTTGTGTGTGTATATGTGTGTGTGGTACATTTCTAGGGGAGACCTAGTTGCTCATTAAAATTGTGGACCTAATTTGTTTGTGAAGAAAAAAAGAAAAAGTTTCATATTTCTATAAAAATATTTTGTACTGAATGTAAATGGCACCATTTAGGTTAAATGCAGATATGCCATCTCGGTATACAAACGATTGAAGCTAACTTAGTGATTCTTTGACAAATTTGCTAAAAGAGAAGCATGTAAAATCAATAAATATTTGAAAATTGCACGTTATTATGACAGTTCAGTTTCTTTGCCTATATTTAGAATTTCTAAAAGACAAACACTGAAATACATTAAATGGTGTGTTAATAACATGTTGTGTCATTTGTTCTACATGCCATAAAAAACAATGTAGTCAAGAGACTGTGGAGTAAAAAAAAGCTAGCAAACATTACAAAATCTTATGGTAAGATCACTAACTATCTCTAGTGGGCATTAACCAGCTGCATTCAATCATGAGAATGGTTGAACAACAGTAACAACATGTAGGTAGGTAAACCACTATAAATACAAGTAATATATTCTAATATATTTTACACTACTCTGATATTCGAGTAGTGTAAATACAGGTGAGAAAACACCAGGATTTCATTAACAGAAGACTTCAACTGTGAAACCACCAGAACTATTATTTATTTCTAAGTTTCTCTTTATTTCCCTACATATGATTTCGGGCCTAGGGCTGCAGGTGTGAATCCTGTCACTGAATATGCTTGACTTTTAATACATGGGGATGTTATACATGATGGTCAATCCCACTTCATTTTTATAGAGTAGCTCAAAAATTTGCAATTGGTGATGTTGACTGGCTACCTTCCCTCTAGTCTATCACTTCTAAATTAGGGATGGCAGGTGCAGACAACCATCTAGTAGCTCTGCATGAAATTTGACAAACAAAGATGTGACTTTAGTGTTAGAAAAGACTTATGATGTTCAAATGCATGTGATGGGGAGTTTCATTTAAACCTTTCACTACTAACTTAGTGGATTACACCAAATGTGACCCCAAAGTGACCATCTAAGTTCCCAAACTATAACTTTTAACATGTTTTGGGTATCTTCATGCAATTTTTCAAACTTTTGGTAACATTACAACTTTTTTTGTAGACAAAAAATCAGCTATTGGTAGTTAGTTTTTGTTTCCTAAGTGAATTTTATATTTAAATGTTTATTTTAATATTCTCAAATAAAGGAGTTTCCAATTGTTTCAGAAGAATGACCAGCAAAAGTATGATAGATGTATCTAGTTTGGTAACTAGGACTGTGGATATTAGTATTAACAAAGACCATTTCAGTTTTAATCATAAGCATACGAGATAAAACACCAGATGTTGGATTTCCCGTACCTAACCCAAATTTTTGATCAAATTTATTCTTTTGAATTACAAATTATGATTATTAGTAGTAGAAAAAATTAGTTTTTGTAGTTTACTGCTAGGAGTACTTAATCATTAGGAATAAACTTTAAAGCCATATCAATGGCTTCACAAGCGTTAAGTGACGTTACATCTAACTGACCATTTTTACTAAAGGATTTTAGTCTATCAATAAATTTGAAAAAAGTTTTTTATATTAGAATAGGTGGAAATAAAGCTATAACCCAAGCCAAAAATTTTCCCAAGGTGTTATAAAAATGGTTGAGCAATGACAAGATAGGTTATAATGGAAAACCATCCATGGGAACTTTGAGTAAGACATGGATTTCAGGAGTACAATAATTAGTTATAAATGAAATAATTTGTGTCATTGAATGTCGTTTTTTTAATTTAACACTTAAGCATTTAATAATTTTTTTCTATAAAGAATTTGTATTAGTTAAGTAAAATAAAACTGAATTGTTTAAAATAGAAAACAGTTTATAATAATCAGTATGATTAAGAAGAACTCTAGAAATTCTCATGTCTACTATAAAAAAAAAATTTTTTTTGCTCAAGAGTAGCCAAAAACTTAACTTTACTACAGTTGGAAATATATATTTTAAATCTGGAAATAATTTGTGAAACTTTAAAACAAAATTCTATTAAAGCATCAACAACATATCAGGAAAAACTGTCCAAAATAAAAGAGTTAAGAATTATCTCTACATTAAATCTTGATTTCTACATGCTAGATAGCACTGTGTATACTTTTCAGTAATGTTTTGTTTCCGTTGTTTAGTGACATGAATAACAAGCTTCCTAGCAAAATTTTTAAGTTCAGATTTAGACATTGAACATTCTTAGGATTAATGCAAAGTTCAGTCTGTTATTCAGAACATTAGACAGTATATCTGTAAGATATGATTGATAAAAATTAACCGTATTATTTGGTGCATTTTTCAATGCCATAATTGAAGGAGAAGGTTTACCACATTGTTTTGAAAGTTCAGTTTTTTTGTTTTGTCATTGGTAGGATTTCTAAATGGAAATTTCCTTGCTGTTTTGGCTCCCATGGGACTTCCTCTACTTGAAGTTGACCCTGTCACTCCCATTTACTACTTCTACACAGACCTAAGAGGAGTGTTAGTTCTCCCAGTTCCCTACCTCACAATTAAGTACCAAAACAAGAGACAAAACTTTAAAGATAAAAGTTCAGACCTTCTCTAAGTTAAGAAATGAAACCTTTACCCTTCCTGAAAACAGTTGAAAATTAATTAACACTTGTTTCAGTTGTATGCCTCATAAATATGAGTTACTGATTATTGTCAGTACATAAAATGCAAATATTGCAAATTCAAATGTATTTTCATTAACGTACATGTTTAGAAAGTAGTACATAATGAAACTTCGCTATTTAAAAATAATTAAATAAACTATAAGAAAATTTCTCCCTATCATTCAACTTGCTGTTTACAAAGTCGCTGCCCAGCTTGTTTAAAGTGTTTATCTTTCCAACAGGTATTATTATATTTGTTTCATTAAACCCATACACTGTTATATAACTGAAGGGTGGATATCACCCATGAACATGGTTTTTAAATGGAAAGGTTTCTTTAATTATAATTTTATCTTGCATATGGAATCACTAAACGTTTTTAGATATAATATGCCTGGCAGTATTATTTCATTCAATCTTTGATAAGCTTCGGAATTTTTGTTTTGTTTTTAAGTTAAACAAACTAAAATTATCTGAAATGGCTTTTTTGCTACATACACTTTGTACAAATTTATAACATCTTAGATATTCTTAATAAGTAAATTTTTGAAATTGAGCAACTTTTGTGGAAATTATTGGAATAGCTAGTTTGTCATCAATTATCTTGGTTTGCCGTAATACCTCGGATAGTCTAACTCCATACTGATAAAGAAATATATATATTAATTAGGTAACTAAGTGTGTACTGAAGGGTGAAAGTATGTATGTAACTTTTAATTTCTAAAGGAAATAGTTAAATTCTAAGTCTTCACTTCTCTGTATCAAATGACACTCCAAATTACCCATTTTATATTTTCTTTCTACCTCTATATGACCTTTTGAGTGTGGCATAAATTACACACTTAAGATATCGCTAAGCCATAAACTTATAGTCTCCAAACTTCGTGCTTTACTGAAATATAAACAAGAAAGTCAAACCTACATGCCAAGCCCCCTCCTGTCACATCCTGCCTCAAAAAATATCCAAAATTCTCTGATATTTGCTATTGGATTATTTATAAACGTTAATAGGTAAGGTTCTAATTTACTTTATTTCTATGAGGCTAGCTTCAGATGACATGTTTTGAAAAAGCCTCAGTTTCATTGTTTGGCTCAAAAGCTAGCAGAATGTTTTTGACCAACTTATAGCTTAGTTAAAAAGTCAATTAAATTATATTAGTTTTAGGGCATTATGTTTTTTGTGTGCAATAATATATTGTGTTATAAATTGCATATATGAAATGAATAGAAATTATTTTATTTATTACTGACATCATTACAAAAAAAGTAGGGGGTATGGTTCATAGTTACCCTAGAGCTAAAAGATAAGCCCAAACATAAGTACTAATTTTTTGTTTCATTGTATAATTTTTCGTTTATTGTCATAAAATTTACTTAAATGTCAAAATTTAAAACTTGTTATGTAATAAAACTAAAACAAATTACATCATAAGGTATGATTGTGTAATTCGAGTGTATGTGCTGACAACTCGATCATTTATTTACACATAGCTCTCACACTGTTAAATGGCTTCCAGCATATTCTGAGAGGGTCTAAATTAGCTTAGGCTGTAAGAATAAATAGTATTGTCTGTTGCAAATGCAGTCATTCTAGAAAGAAAAAAATTATTTAAATTTATTTCATATTTTTCAACTTTTTATTGTCCCCTACATTACTGGTTTTGCCATAGTTGGTATTAGGTTAGAGAAAATAACAAATAAAATATAAAGTTTAGATGAAGAAAAGCTTGATATTCATTTAAGAGGTTCTAGAGGTTATACAAATAAAATAAGAAACTAAGATGAAAAAGATTTTTACTCTTAATATGAAACCTGGCCCACCATGTCCAAGTGGTTAGGGCGCTTGACTCGCAATCTGAAGGTTGTGGGTTCGAATCTCCGTCCCACTAAACATGCTTGACCTTTCAGCCATGGAGGAGTAATAATGTGACAGTCAATCCCACTATTCCTTAGTAAAATAGTAGCCCAAGAATTGGCAGTGGGTGGTGACAACTAGCTGCCTTCCCTCTAGTCTTTCACTGTTAAATTAGAGATGACGAGTGCAGTTATCTGTCGTATAGCTTTGCGCAAAATTCAAACCAAACTTAACATGTAAATCATCTTGCACTCAGATTGACAAATATTTAGTAAAAGTATTAAAAATTTGATTTTTTTGTGTATAAGAGACTTGGAATGTTTACTAGAAGCTTGCCAAATTTCATAAAGGTACACACAGTAATTTTGGAATTATAGTAAACTTTGCCATGTATAGCTTCACAGGAAAGGTCTGGTGTAATACAACCAACCAACACCATTCACATAGAGTTGAAAGGTACAGCACATAAAATTTGTTTAAAGGTTAATTTGATTTATTAACTTATGGCTGAGTTAGTGCAAAATAAACTTATTTTTGGTGTTTGTGATACTGTTGGCACTACTTAACATGTTGATACATTAAAAATTATAATAAGTAGTTATTCCTCTTGATATTAAACATTCTTGTGTATTGTACCTGAACTTGGTTTTGAAAAAGGTGAGTTTCAGTTTATAAATCTATATTTGAATCCATTTCCATCTGAATAGGTTCCAATATGTAATGACTGTATAGTAACAGACCACAAACAATGTGATCATCACTATGAACGAATTACTGATGTTGAGCTGAAACAACGTGAAGAAATTGAAAATTTGGTGAAAGAGAGTGAAGAGAAGATTACCTTTTGTGAAATCGCTTCTTCCACTCTGCAGAACTCTCTCACGGACTTACAGGTGCAGCGTGATGATACTAAAACTGTTATTCAGGTATGTTGTGTGAAGCATTAATTATTGCAAAATCAGTTGAAAGAAACAGCATATCTTGTCTGTTTAGAAAACAACTAGTCTGCATCATTGGTACTGACTTAAACAATAAGGCACTACATTGTTATTCAGTAGTTTAACTTAATGGGTCTCGGAGATCTACTTTGACATGAAATGGCCTAAGTGGCTAATTAAAAATATAACTAAAGAGTGTATCCAATTACAAATGACCCATCAAAAAGTGCATTATTTGGTGTTTGATAGATTTTTTTTTCTGCTAAGTATTTTACTGAATAAACAGACTGTGCAGTTGTATGCATTTGTTTTTAATAAAGTCATATAATCCTAACCCCTTTATTGTTTATCTTTAAAAAATGTTAATAATCCTGTATACACTTGCATAGATAGTAACTTGAAATAAGAAATGCAAGAACATGATTTTAACAAATGGTTGAATAGAAGTATCTGGGCAAAGCTAACTTGTGTTATGGGCCAAATGTGGCCCAGTGGTTAGCATGCCAGACTCTATATCAAAGGTTTTGCAGCTCATACCCCATTACCACCAGTGTTTCATTTTGTATTAAAGGTAGGTAAATAATCAAATAGAAATACTTTCCTGGTGGATTAATAACCCCATCTAAGGAGAAGAAAAGTCTTTATTTGTAATTACAAGTACTGAATATAATATTGGCAAAGTACCCTTTAATAAGAAAAATCATCAGTTAGGACAAACCATGCTTATTGTCATTTATTTGTGCTACATTTTTGTTAAAGTTGAAATTTTTTCACAAAATTAATTTTAGAACAACATATCACATTTTTATCTGTCTCAGAAAAATTGTTCAAGACTTTTAAGTATCTTCAAAAGAAAATTTATTGAATTATATTAACATAAATATCAAGGTTATACATGTTTATTAAAAGTTGTTCTTTTTCTGTTTCAAATTAGAAATCTTAACCAAATTGCATGAACATCAGTAAAAACTTGCCAAATAATGTCTAATTTCATTTTTTTTTAAAAAACTTAATTTGATTCACATTTTCTATAATATTTCATATTGTGAAATTTCCAAACATTTTGTTGAGACATTGTTTTAATAAAGAATTAAAAACATGTCCTTTCATCTTAGAATTTTTTTTTTTTTCCAGAAAATTCCATTTTATACATACACAATCAGTTTCAACTTGGTTGATATTCATTAATATATTTCTTTTGTTGTATTTAGTCTCCCAATTGCAGTAGTCACCACTTTCAGCCGTAATTCATAAAAAATCAGTAACCTTATGACCTGACTTGTCACAATGGTATCAGGTCAGGCTAGGTAACGGTATTTTTGTTAACAATATTTTTAGTTGAAATGAATTAATATCTAAGTTTCTTATTCAATAAAGTAATAAGATATTTTAATTATCTACATTGTTTAAATATGATTAACTTAAAAATAATATTCAATAGATAAAGATTTGAGTCATCGTAATATTTTGCCATTGCCTACTGTACTCTGAACTCAACTAGGCTTACCTGATGTCATAGAAGAAAATTTATGTAGCTTTTTAACAAATGCAATTTGACACAAAATCATTTTCAGAGATGGAGATAAATTCTAAATGAACTGTAATAAAAGTTTCAGATCATTATATTGTTTTTCTACATTTCCCATTAGTTTCCATTGTTCTCCTCAGTTGGAACAATAATCACTTTTTCATGAAATTAGGGCTACCGGCAAGAAAAATCCACTGCTGGTCACGATGACCAATTACTAATTATTTTACAGTTACTGCACACAACGAAACTCTCATTGCTTGACACCTATACATTTTTTTCCTCTTAATAAACTGATGAACATATGCACATTAATGGAGGAAAAAAGAAAGGTATTTTTTTTTTTTGTATTTTTTTAAAAATAGTTATGAACTTGGTCAACTTGACCAACCTCGTATAGAGGAAAGATAGAGAAAATAACGTATAAAACAAAGTTTTACTGGAAAAAAAGTATGAAATTTAATTAGGAGTTTTTAGAGATTAGCAAATGACATTTGAGATTTTTCAGATGAGGAAAAATATTTTTAACCATAACATGAAAATCACTTTGCACTCTGAGAATTCAACACTTTGACTCCATATATTCATGGAGAAATTTTTAGTGAAAAATACTTCATTAAACATTCTGATATTTTTGTCTACAAATGACTTAATGATTACTGAAAGCTTTGAAAATTTTGTAAAGATACACAAAACATAGAGTTATAATATGGAAACTATAAAGGTCAGTTTGGAGTCACAAACTCGGGTGATTCAACCAAGCCCGTAGCAAGAAAGTTAATTTATTTCTATTATTTTATTAATGTAACATTTATTATTTCCATATATAGTTATTTTGACAAAAATTTGATCTCAAATTACATGAACATCATTTAATATACTGTAATGGATCCCATAGTTTTGTCACAATTTCATTTAAACACAGTTTTAAAATGATTTTAGGTAAGTTATCAGGATTATCTTCTGGTTTGTGTAGGTTTCGATAAAAAGTTTTTGTATGTGTGTAATTTCCTACATTCAAGCTGTAAACATATTCAGTTATCAGAAACTTTAATGCATTTCAATTTATTTACCATACAATTGACCACAGTAAATACAACGTGAAATATACAACACTTTAAAACCACTTAAGTTTATATTGTACCATAAATGTGTTTAAATGAAAATTGCCTTTTTTTTAATACTTTGAGAGAGGATTTGTGTAATTCCTTCCAATCTGCACGAGTGGACAGATATAAATATACAGTAGAGTAACTGCAGTGTTTGCAACTGTACAGTTGGTCTTAGCATAACATACTGTGCAAGACCTTAAATGGCCAGGTAGTTAGAGTTCTTGTGCTAAAGATATATCTGTGAAATGCTGAGATTAGTCTGACTCAGATTTTGACAAGTGGAGTGAAATATACAAATAATTTCCGGTGTATTTGATTGTGAACACTGAATCTAGACACTTTCTGCATATGTAAGTAGTACCATGGGTTTTACATTAATAGTGTTTTGATTCACACAGTGCATAAAACTGCATATACCGTGTCTTTCTCACTAAGTATTTTGAAAAAAGAAGTTCTTTGGACAAACTGTTAATACAGTTTTATAGGGTGCGATCTGTATGGCTGATATGTTTGTGAAGAATAAAATTACTTTTACAAATTGTATTTACATAACATCTACAATCTCCTAAATGCATATTTCAAGTTTTTTTCAGTATTCCTGTATATTGTATCTGGTATTTTCTCTACTCTGACACAAAATGTTACAAAATCAGCAATGTAGAGTAATATAGCATGTTGATAATTCTGACATGAATCAGATCATGTTGAATGTTCATTTCTCTGTAGAAAGTTGGGACATGCACACTTTTACTCCCATTAGTGCATTTAGGATTGTTGTATACAAAATAAGGATTAGAAAGTTATTTAAACAACCTATTACATCTAACTCTTATGACTAAAAACATGAAAATAAAATTTGCTTATCTTAACATCACTTAAAAACAATCTACTTTGTAATAAAAATTAGATGTTTTAATTAGGAGAAAAAAAAACAACTTAAAATGAGAAACTCTTCACATGTGTCTTTACAGTATCTCCGATCACTCAACTAATAATTTTTTCAA